TTTTTTTTGAGGCAGGGTCTCACTATGTAGTTGAGACTGACCTGAAACTCACTATGTAGCCCAGGCTGGTCTTGAACTCACAGTGATCCTCCTGCCTCAGCCTCCCAAGTGCTGGGATTACAGGCGTGTGCCACTATGCCCCGCTATCTGAATGTATTTTTAAAAGTACTGGGTTCTAGGGATTTGGCTCTGTGGTTCCGCTGCTTGCCTTGCAAGTGCAAGGGCCCGAGTTTGATCCCCAGTACAAAAAAAAAAACAAAACAACTGGGGAGGTTGTGAAATTTAATTTCTGAGGTTATTTCTTTGTTGCCAACAGATGAATGGTTTTGGAAAACTTGAGCATTTTTCAGGAGCAGTATATGAAGGACAATTTAAGGACAATATGTTTCATGGATTGGGGACTTACACTTTCCCCACTGGAGCAAAATACACTGGAAATTTCAATGAAAATAGGTAAGATTGAATTTAAAAAACAATCACTGTAGTTCTAAAATATGATAATCACAACACTCGGGAGGCTGAGGCAGGAGGATTGCCATGGGTTCAAGGCTAGCCTGGGTACATAGTGAGTTCAGGGTCAGCCTAAACTATAAAGGGAGACCTTACCTCCATAAACCAACCATGCTTTCTTAAATATTGTGTTTAGTTAATTCTAAATATTTTTGTATGCAATTAATTTCTAAGCATTGTTATTTTAGGTGATAAGGGAGTATTATAAAAGAGGGTAGGTCCCTCACAGCCTCCCAAAGGGAATATCATTCTTGGTGATAATCATTAGACTTGACTTTTCTTTTTTGGTACCAGGGATCGAACTCAGGACCTTGACTTGTGAGGCAGACAGCAGCACCACTGAGCTAAACCCCCAGCCTATAATCATTAGACTTTTCATATTCCCTTTCTACCTTTCTGTGACTGTAGAATTTTTTGCAATTGGCTTAAAAATAGAAAATTTGGGCCAGGAATTTAGCTCAGTGGTTCTGCCACGTGCTCACAAGTGCAAGGACCTGAGTTCAATCCCCTGTACCAAAAAAAAAAAAAAAGAAATGGCTTTGGGAATAATTTCACCATTGTTTTTTTCATTTTGATGCAAAATTATTTAAATTTCAAATGGTGGAAATGTACCCACTATTGTCCTTTCTGAGCATGTGCATGTAGCAAAAACAAAAGTGACATTACACACAAGTACAGCTTTACAAGCTTAATCTTCACATTGAATTCCAGGCCATGCTGTCCAGAGTTTCACCTTTGTTTATAGACCCCCCTTTCTTATTTATAGAATTGATAATGCAACCTAACTGTTAGGAACTAGTCAACAGGAATACATTCTGAGGGGGACAGAAAAGTGTTCACCTGTTTTCCCTCCAAGTTTGTGATAATAAAACACAAGCTTTTCCCCTTCACACACACACACACACACACACACACACATATTTTGGTATGGGGATAGAACTCGGGACCTTGCAGGCAGTGGAACCACTGAGCTAAATGCCTGGCCCTCCCATTGGCTATTAATACAGGGAGAAATCTGATTTATAGGACAAATCTTATTTGTTTATATGAGTACATTTTCATATCCAAAGAGCTTAAGAAAGCACCAGCAAAGTTCATAGGACCTCAGATGTAGTCAATGATCAAGACAATTTTGTTGAATAAATTGAACCAATATACATTTTATTTTTAGCTGTTGGTTTAAGCATGAAGTTGCTTATATGATTCTAAAATCTTGGACACCGAAACTTACATAATGACAATGTTGGTTTGGAATAGTATGTTTTTTCATAGGATATAAGAGCAGGAGTCTGGATTTTTTTTTTTTGTACTGGGGATCGAACTCGGGACCTTGCGCTTGCCAAGCAGGCAGCGGAACCGCTGAGCTAAATGCCCGGCCCCTGGAGTCTGGATTTTAAATCAAAATGTGAAAATGGAAAAATAAATAACCCTTCAGACGTAGTGTACACTGTACTGGAATTCTTCCTTATCTCCCTATCTCAGGATGGAAGGTGCGGGGGAGTACACTGATACCCGAGGACTGCAGTGGAGTGGCAACTTTCACTTCACAGCCGCTCCAGGCCTGAGACTGAAGCTCTGCATGTAGATGTTCTCAACTAGAGTTTAAATGGCGTAATTGAAGTTTTTAGTTTGAAGTAGAGCAGCGATTCTGTCATCTGAACCGACTGCATACACTTAACCTCTGTAAGTTTTCCAATAAAACCATCACTCATCTATGCCTTCTTGAATTTTATTTTTATTATTATATAGATTTTTAAAAAAAACTATATGATTCAATTAGAGCTTACTCATTTTAATAAATACAGTACGGCAAGCCAGGCATAGTGGTGGATGCTTATAGTCGTAGGACTCTGGAGGCTGAGGCAGGAGGATTGTGAGTTCAAGGCCAGCCTGGGCTACAGAGTGAAATCCTATCTCAAAAAAAAACTTAAATAAATAAAAATATACATATATACATATAAACATATGTACAGCACAACTATCCAGATCTTGGCAAAGTCAATTTCCAGTCACATGCCTGGGTTTTATAATCTTTTGTTTTCTATTTTATGCTTGCATGTTTATTTTGGAGGAGAAAATTTTCCCTCGTCACCCTTTATAAGTATGCAAATACTTGGCCCATAATGATTTTTTTTTTTTTTTTGCTGTGTGAACAGTAATTGAAATCAGCCTCCTTAAATTTAAGTGCGCAGCACATTCTCACTGAGGAAGCGGAAGTGTTGTGCTGCATCTCCCTAGGGCTCGTGCATCTTACTTCTCTGAAACCTTAGGCCCCTGGATTAGTAACTCATTTCCCTCTGTGCCCAGTCTCTTGGAAATCACTATTCTCCTCTTTGATGCAATGAATTTGACTGTTTTGGATACCATGTCCTATTCATGGAAGCCTGTGCCAGTGGTCCTGTGATTAACTTATTCCACTTACCACACTGTTTTCAAGGTTCACCCATGTTGTCACATTTTGCAGAATTCCTTTTTTTTCCCCCCCGGTACTAGGAATCAAACTCAGAACCTTGCCCTTGCCTGGCAGGTGCAGCACCACTGAGCTAAATCCTTGGTCCAGAATTCCCTTCTTTTTTAAAGGCTGAATATTTCATTTTATGTATAGACCACATTTTATTATTTAAATTTTTATCTTAATGTGATAAAAGTAGATACTAAGAAAATATAAAAGCTGTTCTATTAAAAAAAATCTTTATAACAAAACAGAGAATAACTATAGTGAATACACTATATGTCATGATCTTAAAAGAATGTATTTTTATTGTTAATCTACCTCTCAACTAATTTCCTAATACTGTACCTTTTTGCTTTTTGCATAAAACATTTAAATTATTAACAGTACATTTCAAAGTTGGTATAAATTTGAACAATTTCTTCCTATTTCACAATATTTACTATACTTCTTGGTCTTTATTTACACTTCTAGTTTCTCACACCAGAGACAATGCAATATTTACATGTGTGTTTGATTTATTTCACTTAAGAGTATGGTCACAAGTTGCATCCATTTACCTAGAAATGTCTCAAGTTTATCCTTCTTTATGGCTGGATAGTGCTCCATTCTATTTTTTAAAAATCTCTTTTTATCCATTCATCAGTTGATGAGTATTTGGGTTGTTTCCAAGTTTTAGCTATTAAAAACTGTGCCACTATAAACATGAGTGTGCATATATCACTGTGGTATGATTCTTTTAATTCTTTTGGGAAAATACCCACCAGGGGAATATCTTGGTCAAATGGGGCTTTAATCCAGAAACAGCAAATAAATACATGAAAAAATGTTCAACATCACTGGTCATTCAAGAGATGCAAATGAAAACAACGCTGAGATTCTGCCTCACTCCATATCTGCTTATATCTTATATCTGCTTTCAAGAAATGAACCAAGCCGGGCATGGTGGCGCACACCTGTAATCTCAGCACTCGGAGGCTGAGGCAGGAGGATCGCTGTGAGTTTCGAGACCAGCCTGGGCTCTACATAGTGAGTTTCAGGTCAGTCTCACTACATAGTGAGACCCTGTCTCAAAACAAAACAAAACATAAAGAAGTGAATCAATAACAAATGCTGGTGGGGCTGTGGGAAAAAAGAAACCTCTATATACCACATTTAAAAAATCTGTTGCTGAACATGTAGGTTGTTTCTATTGTTTTTGGGCTTTTGTTTGTTTGTTTTGGTACCAGGGATTGAACTCGGGACCTTGCACTTGTGAGGCACTCGGGGGCACCACTGAGCTAAATCCCCAGCCCTTTAGGTTGTTCTACACGTTGGCTATTGCAGATCGTGCTGTGATGAACACAGAAGATGGAAATGTCTCTTCAAGATCCTAACTTCAATTCTTATGGGTAAGTACCCAGAAGTAGGATTCCTGGATCATAGAGTAGTTCTGCTTTTAATCTTTTGAGGATCGCCATGCTGTTTTCCACAGTGACTGCCGTTTTTATTCCCATCCACAGTAAGCAGCAGTTGCAATTTCTCCATATGTTCACCAACACTTCTTATGTTTTGTTTTTGTTGGTAGCTACCCTGACAGATCTAAAGTGATAACTCGTGGTTTCTATTTCCCTGATGATTAGTGACCCTGAGCATTTTTTTAAACATACCTATTGGCCATGTGTGTGTCTTCTTTGGGGAAATACCTATTTAATGTCTTAGCTCATTTTTCAATTGGCTTATTAATTTCTTTCTTTTTTTTTTTGTATCAGGGATCCAACTTGGGTCCTTGCACTTGTGAGGCAGGCAGTGGAACCACTGAGCTAAATCCCTGGCCCAGGTTATTAATTTCTTTACTCTTGAATTATTAAAAGATCCTTCTAGGTTGCCTTTTCAATCTGTTGATTGCATCACTGTAAAGATTTTAGTTTGAAATAATCCCACTTGTGCATTTTTGGTTTTGTGGCCTGTGATTCTGGTGTCATATCTGTGTACGTTATCACTGCTAAGTCCAGTATCATAAAGATTTTTCCACTGTGTCTCAAACAGCACATTAAAAGAATCCATGGTGTAACGCAGTGGTAGGGCACTTGCCTCGCATGTGCAAGGCCCTGTGTTCAATCCCCAGCACTGCAGAATGAATGAATGGATAAATGACAAATTTTAAAAGGCTCATGTACCACGACCAAGTGGATTTATCTCTGGGATAAAATGATAGGTCAACAGTAAGAATCAATGGGTAGTCCACATTAACAGAACAAAGGATAAAAATTGCACAGTCATATCAATGGATGTAGAAAAGGCCCCTTTGACACAATATGGCACATTTGTGTGACAAAAAATGAATGAGGAAAAAAATATATAAATATAGGTTTGAGACAAGGTCTTGTTATGTAGCCCAGGCTGTCCTTGAACTCGTAATCCTGCCTCAGCCTCCTGAGTACTGGAATTACAGATGTATGTCACCATACCTGGCTTAATAAACCTGGAATAAAGGTTACTTTAACACAATAAAGGTTGTGTATTTAAAAAAAAACCATAGCTAACATGATATTTAACAATGAAAAATAATACTTTTACTCTAAAATCAGAAACTAGGCAAGAACACCCTTCTTGGCCACTTGTGTCTTTAAAAATCTGTCTTTTGGTGGGGGGCGGTTATTACTGGAGTTGAACCCAGGGCCTTCACACTGAGGATGCATCCAGCCTTTTTATTTTTACTTTTAAGTTTTTCAGGCAGAACTCACACTAGCAATCCTCCTGCCTCAGCCTCCCTAGTGCTGGGATTACAGAAATGTGCCACCATGCCCAGCTGAGAAGTATATCACTGCATTTGTTAAAAGGTACTCTAAAGAAAGGGCAAATACAAACTACAGAATGGGAGTAAATATTTTCAAATCATATTTCTGGTTGTCATAATTTTGTTTAACACGTAGATGCTGCCTCAGCATTCATTTTTAGGCCTGAGGTTGAAACTCAGCCGTTCACCCTGCCTTGCCGCCGTCACCTTTGACTTAGTGACACTGTCCCTCCCCTTGTGCCTGTGTGTGATACAGCCTGCTTGTTCTTCATTCTTACAGAAACCTCACACAGCCCACAGCTGGTAACCACGACAAAGCCTAATGGTCCACCAGAGTCATGTAAGTCAGTTCCTCCCCTCTCAAATCTTCTTTCAATGATCCAGACCACAGCCACCGAGGGAAAGCCTCAGAGATAATACCCAAGGGCCTTCATTCACTGTCCACCCGCTGCTTGAGCTGTCTGCCACTTCTGGGCTTCCCTAACCTCTCTGGGATCTATTAGATAATGTTCCTCTGTTTTATTCCCTTTGGTTTCTCCTCTTCTGACCAACACAGCCAGTCCCGATTTTCACCCCTGGCAGGGCTCTCCCTGAGAGCATCTATCTTGGCTTATAGCCACACGTGACAGAACTCATGACGAAATTGGAAAGTAGTCATAACAAAAATTAGAATACTGGGGCCAGGGATTTAGCTCGGTAGCACCGCGCCTCCCTTGCAAGTGCAAGGTCCTGAGTTCAATCCCTGGTACGGAAAAAAAAAAAAAAAAAAAAGAATACTGATAAAGTCCTAAGGTCCAGAACATTTAAAGAACTCTTACAACTCAATCATAAAAAGACAACCCAGGGCTGGAGGTAGAGTGCTTCCTTAGAACCCCAGAACCACAGAAAGAAAGGAAGAGGGGAGGGAGGGAGGGAGACAGGGTTGGGAACAGGGTTAGGGTTAGTGTTAGTGTAAGTCGAGGCCTTTGGGGGTGATGAGGTCACGGGGTGGATCAGGAACCTTTCATAATTGTGAGGAGCTTGTTTGCTGCTTCTGCCAAGTCAGCGTTCGGCAGGGAGGCGCCATCTTTGAAGATGGGAGCCAGCCCTTACCCGATGCTGAATCTGCTGGCGTCTTGATAATGGACTCCTCTGCCCCTAGAACTGTGATCAGTGCATTTCTATCGTTTGTAAGTTATCCAGTCTAAGCTATTTTCCAGGAGCCTAAACTGACTAAGACTCTCACAATAGCCCCAAACTGGAGGGAGGAGTAGAGAACTGTGATGGAAATGTTCTAGAGTGAGATAGTGGTAGCATTTGCATAATCTTATAAACATACTAAACATCGCTGAATTGTTTACTTCAAAGGAGCAGATTTTATTTGCGGTATGTGAATTATACCCCAGTTTCTTTAAAAAGTAGGTGTGGGGATCATCACATATTCTGTGCCCTAGCTTTTAGATAAAGTCATTTTATTATTTTTCAGCTTTATTTTTT